TCTGGCCACGGTGGGATTCGAACCTACGACCTTTGGAATACTAGCCCAATGCTCTTCCAACTGAGCTACGCGGTCTGGACGGTTCGAGTAAGTGATATTTCGGAACAGTATCTAGTTCCTTCAATACCAATGTGTTCTAGTAATATGAATTTTTCTGTGTTGGTGTTGTAGAACACATTGGTATTGAAGGAACTAGATACTGTTCCGAAATATCACTTACTCGAACCGTCCTGACCGCGTAGCTCAGTTGGAAGAGCATTGGGCTAGTATTCCAAAGGTCGTAGGTTCGAATCCCACAGTGGCCGGGCATATTTTTCAAGCTCGCCCGGTGTGGATATGCACTCAGAGTAACATCGCAAACATATACAAGATTGCGTGAGTTTTTGCGAGGCATGGCGGATGTCCGGGGGGAGGGGGGGGGCGGTCACTAATTCGGACAATGTCGCACAAGGGGGCGAGGGGGGGTCTGAAAATCCATCATTTGGCCGGACATCCTTTGTGAATGGCCCCTTAGTATCCGTACCGGTGAGGTACATGCCAACGAGCTATATATATAGCTATATATATATATATATATATATATATATATATATATATATATATATATATATATTTCTAAAATTCATGAATAATTCATGAGCTAATTAGCCAATGAATTTCTTAAAATCTCGTCACATGATGACCCCTATATACCGTGATATAGATCGGTGTGTGCTGATTTAAAATTCATATATAGACCACATGTACCTTTATGATAAAGGTACATGTACCTTTATAAAGCATTCTTTGACAAAATGTTTATTAATCTGTTCCTATAAGAAAAACTCAAATATTCGAGAAATAAATAAATACTTTATTTTCCAAAGTTAAAGGTAATGTTACAATTGTTAAACACGGGATTAACAACCCTTTCGTTTTTGATTACACACCACTTTAAACTCTTTATACCCAACAAACTTGCTTAATTAAAATGCTAAATACGCTTCATTCATCTCCGCCAGCGATGTAGTTAATGTCTGGATTGTGCCAATATCATCAGTTTCATGACCAGTATCGTCGATCTTCACTTAATAACTTTTCTAGCAGCTTTCCAGGAATGAAAAATCTTCAAAGCCCACTTTGTCGCGTATCTTGTACTTGGCGGCATCGCTCTTTCGAGCAACGTTTGCTCCTCTTCAGCACTTCAAGCGCTTCGAAACCGACTCATTAACAAAACAAGTCAAATATGTTCAATTTCAATTTGAAAACTCCGTTTAACGACTTGTATGACTTGATAATTAATCCAGTCATTAATTTGCTTGCTGATCAATGAAGGGAAGAATCGTAAAACAGTAGAACTATTGTAGATAGCATTTCTTATTATTTCATTGGGACCCAAAACAAAAGGTGAATTTTAGAAGTCATTTATAAACCTCGTGATTGGGCTTTATCGGTGCCTATAGCCGCTCGCCTTCGGCTCGCGTCTATATGCACCGATAAAGCCCTCTCACTCGGTTTATAAATAGTACATATATATATATATAGTACATATATATATATATATATATAGCTTAAGGTTTTGGTTTACGGAACACAAACAGTGCTCAATACCATATAGATAGAGCGTAATATAGTTTTTCGTTTTACCTCAAAAAACCACAACAGTCTGTTTCATCCGTATAGGAATCATAAGACCACCTGATGATTCCTATATGGATGAAACTTTCACTCGGTTTATAAATAATATATATATATATATATATATATATATATATATATATATATATATATATATATATATATATATATATATATATATATATATAAATGTATGTTTGTTATATATGTATTGAAAAACGAGTTTTTCTTGTGTATACAACCAAGGAAAACTAGCTTGAGAAGTGTACCAGAAATACTTCTATGTCTATGATTTTGGCAAAGAAAGCCAAAGGGCGGTGAGATAAATGTTTATTTTTAACACTAAACATTCTGTGCATATACAAGCAAGAAAACTGGTCAATTTGAAAAACTTGTTGACCGTATCAGACACACGAAAAGGAATAAACTTTTCAATGAAAACTTGCTCGTTTGTAGGAGGCTTAAAGGTAGCTGTTACATCACTGCTTTTCCTATAAGTGAATGCATGCACACTATATGAAAGTGTATTACGTGTATGTCAGTATAGATTGATAGACATTGGATAGACTCCTCATGCCGTTAATCGTTTCGTTCTATAGAATAATGCAGAGGAACGCCTATATAAACAGTCGTATTTTCTGTCTTACACCGTGATCGCCACGACGAGCCCTTCATATCAGAAGATCGTTCGTATACTATGCAGAGAAGATTTCCACGCAAACGAGCTGTAAGACACAAGAAAAATTTCCAATAGACTTTCATGTTATAACGACGAATACGTCAGCGTGATCTCAGCGGATCTTTTAGCCATGCCATCGAAACAAAATACATTTCTACAACAGACAGTTGGTTTGCAACCATTTGACGCCATCCAGTTACATCACTACACTAGAGTTCACTTATTCCTCAAGAATGGACTAGATCCAGACCTCCGCGATCAACAACAGCGAACCTTACTCATGAGCGCGTGCAGTGTCAGTGTGACAGAGAAAGCTGCTGTAAAATTCAGCAATCTGCTGTTGAAATATAAAGCTAGGATTGAGTTACAAGATGAAAACGGGTTGAGTGCTTTACATTATGCGGTATTAAATCAACATGAAAATCTGGTTGCGAGGTTTCTCGAGTTTGCAGGAAATTTTGATGTTAATATGAAGGACAGTTTTGGGAATACAGTACTAATGTTGGCTGTATTTACTAGGAACTATGACATAGTGCAAAGTATTGTTCATGTTTTGAGGAAGTACGATTTATCCGTAGATATAAGCAACTGTGAAGGACTCACTCCTCTCATTCTAGCGACATTAATACACGACAATGAGATTGTTAGATGTTTGATCGAGGTTGGCAAAGCTTCAACTGAAATACGCGACAAACATTTCAGAAAGTCTGCTAAAGATTGGCAACACAATACATCAATGTATCCGCATGTACTGAAAGGTTCCTCTATATATACCAGCATTGGGAACCATTCTATCCCAAGAAATCCACCAACATACCCAGACATACTCAAAGATTGTACCAATATATCCATCAGTAACCCTACATTAAAACGAGCTATCCTACGAAATCCATCAGAACACATCAACTATCCCTCACATATTACATCTGAAAGATTATTGAAACTGCGTTCAAAAGAAAATCCTTTAAAAGAGGGCAGATATCAATATCCAGATTTAAAACCAGTTTACAACTTGTACCAACAAGAACTTTCAAGTTCATATCGGAAAAGTGCTCCCCCACGAGTACAGACTCCTCCAGGCCCGAGTTCCGACTCCTCGGAGGGCCAAAACTCGTGGCGTAACACGATACTATCATTAAAGTTAAAACAACGACGCCACACAATAGCCTTATCTCGCAGTCTACCCAACAACATCTCTACTACGAATCTTTTTGGACCACTTGTGTCGGGAACACACGCGCGGTCATATAGCCTGGGAACAAGTGAGGCATTCGAGTCATCGAAATGGCCAACATTACGTCATAACACACGACGGAACTCATTTCGTTTGTCATACGTCAACACTGTGCCCGCCACAGCGCCAGGGGGATTGCAAACTAATCACAGACGTGCTTCAATATCTGGGGATTTGAGGTCTCAAAGACGGCGATCAGTTACTTTCCAGTCTCCAAATATAAGCCCGCGGGATGTTGGAGCTCAGTCCCCTCGCACACAAAGAAGCACTTTGAAGAACAGCAAAGCAAGTGGCGAGAACATTTTCCCTGGAGAGTTTACGATACTGGAAGAAGACAGCGTAAAATTGAATGAAGACTGACTGTCTTAGTAATAGCTCCGGTTTGAACGTTTTTCTATTCCTTGTAGTCAACAGTGACGTTTCGCCGAAATTTACAAAACATAAAGACTTAAAACCATATTTATTAATAAAAACATTACTAAATCAATTAAATGTACCATATATCTCTTCCTTCGTGATGAACTCCTTTTACGCTGTGACCTAAAATATCACTGCACCCCAATTCTCAAAAGTATGCCACCTTTTGGATTCAGCACCTCAATTTCCAGCTTCGCTAAGAACCCGGCCCCATTCCATTAATTAAAAGTCGGCAATTCAGTCCTTATTCGTTCCGAAAAGAGAGGCAATCTCATATTACCATGGAACCCGAAGATGTTCCGAGTCACTGCCGTAAAAGGAGGATCAGTCATTGCTTGGAGGCGGGATGGTCAGCGTTTGATGCGACACACTTCCGCCGAAAATACCAGGTGAGGACATTCAGTCAAACCCACCTTCATTGAACTCGGCAACGACCTGATTACTCAGCCTAGACCTTACTCGACTGGCTTTGGGTTCGTTTTGCAATGTCGTATTAGTTAACATGCACAACTCAACGAAAACGAACGAATATTCAGTTACGTTAATAAGGATAGCTTATTTTATATGTCAAGATTACAATTATACGTACATGCATATATCAAAACATAGGTTATTGTTTAGCAAATGGCTATAAATTGAATCAAAACTACCAAAGTTTTATATAGTCTTTGGTATATGTGTTACTTCACTTACTTGGTTTTAGGATACACATAATTTTTGACATTCTCTGCATTAATAGTGAATAGCGATGCAAATTGCACTTTTCATCCTTGTCTTTATGGAAATATTAAATGCAAGTATACTTTAATAATGCCTTGATGTTTTTCAACCGTAGACTAGTCACGATGGACGAGTCAATATATGAGACTGCAACCGCTCCGCAATTTTTATCAGTTGTACTTACACCCATTTTCAAAATTACGCGACCTCCCTGAAAAATACTCTTACTTCAAATATCAGTTTTATGTCACAAAAACTGCTAAAAATATAGCAAACGTAAACAAACTGTCAAAAGACATTTTAAACCGTATTTAATACCAAAACTGAACAAAAATGAGTTAGATAACTTAGATATACAAACTAAAGCACAATACAAACCATCACAACAGAAATATGTGCCGTGAATAACTTTTAAAGTTTGAAAAATAACAATTTATCCTGGAATTTAGATGTCAGTATAAAACACGCGCGCTAGTCTATAACGGTGATGTTATGATTTTGTTTGTGCTTAAATTTTGCAATAATTCTCACTAAAATATCTTGAAAATCATTGTAAGCCTGTTTATATTTAGCATACAAAGCATATACCTCGACAAGGAACCGCAAAACTCAGAGTTTAAACTTCGTGACCGAATGACATAAAACTGACATGTCAACTCTAGCATTTTCGTCCTTGGTCGCGTAATTTTGAAAACGGGTGTAATCTTTTATTCTCCGTTGATTTGTGTGTACTGAGTGGGAATATTGAATAATTGTTAGAGGAAGAAAGGTATCTTGGCTTAAATAACGAAGTAAACCATGCATTAATTGTTAACCGCTAATATGTTGCTTCAGCGTTTCTATCAATTATTATTCCTTGCAAAGCCCAACTCCACGTATTGAGGGAGTTTTGTTTCCTAACTTT